GCCACCATCGAAAGTTTGTACACTATCGTCAATTGGGCTCACAACATCATATGAAGGTATCAATTCAATTGACGTCACCATTGAAAAAGTAAGTGAAGTTACAAATTCGTCTAGTACAACCACTATGTCTCAATTTTCAAAAATATTATTGGTATGTTTGTTTTACTTTAAAAAAATAACTTTTTTCTTTTTATTTTAAAATGTTTTATAAAACATTTTTTAAGATATTAAAAGAATTTAACTTACTTTTTATAAATTAAAAAAAATTAATTTTGACTTTAAAGTAACATAAATATACATTATATATTAAAATATAGTTAAAATCACATATTTTTCACAAAGTTGAATTTTATAATAATTTTTATGAAAAACTATTTCAAATAATTTTAAATTTAAGTGGTTTTTTAAAATTCTGATATTAAAAAAAAATTATAATAAAATGGTGAAATAATGAAAACTACATTTTAGAAAACTATTTAAATCAATTTTGTATTTGAAGTTTAAAAAAATTAATAAAAATATATAGGTTTAAATAGTTTTTTGTCTTTGTAAGTTAGTTAGCGTGTTTTTTTATTTTAGTCTTTAAATTTTTTTTGTTTGGTTAAATTTCGCTTGGTTTTAGTATTTGGTGTCAATTCTCCATTATAAAAAATTGATGTGGCTAACATTGCTGACGTGTCAATTTTTTTTTTCTTTTTTTCTTTTTTTTATTAAATTTCACATAGACTAATTATTATTTATTTATTTATTTATTTGGATGTTAAATGATAAAATTCAAAAATTTTAAAAAATGGTCTCAAGATGTCTCAAACCTTAAAACTTATTATTATAGCAAGGACGCCTCTCCACTAATATACTTGTGTTCCTTGTTTAATGATTTCAATGCATATGTATATATTACACTATGGGATTGATGACTAAAATCTAAAAATGAAATGATTTTGCAACTTGAATCTTCTCCCTCTCCTCTAATTTGTATTCTTCTTCTTTCTCTGCACCTTCATCCATGACTATGTCTTCAGCCGATAACTTTACTTCATTCTAAATTCTCAGTTGCTAACTTTACTCCACTTCATTTAATTTTGTTGTTGTTTCTGATGATGGGAGATGGATTTGCAAGCTTCATCATCTAGTAGAATTAGTGGTGAATTTTTGTTGTACAATAACAGAGTTTGGTATTGATAGAAGTGTGAGAAATCATTTTTATGCAAAGGAAAAACAAGAAATAAACAAGGAATAATTTTGGGTTTGAAAAAATTATGAGTTTGTACGAAGATTGAGATGAATATATGAACAAAACTCAAAATTTTGGATTAAATTGTATTTTCGTCTTTATAAGTTGGCGTGTTTTTTATTTTAATCCCTGTAATTGATTTTTTTTTAGTCCTTAATTTTGGATTTTAATTCATATTTTCATGTCCAACCTTCATACAAACCCAAATTGTTTTCATATCAATGAGAATATATGTGTTTGTTTATGAGGTATTCATGTATGTTTATTTAGTGCTCCACCATTTCAAACCAGACCCAGCCATATGCTGGAATAGCAAGCTCTACAGCACAGGGCCCCATATTTTGGAGGATCTCAAAATTTTGAAAAGTCCAATTTTTTTACATTAATATTAATAAATATATTAAAAAATTAGAAATAAATTTAAAAAAAAATGTTATGATAAAAATCCAATACATTAAAAAATAAGTAATTATAATTAAATTTTTCTTTATTAATATGTAATTATATTTTTTATGTGTCATTTTTAATTATTATAATTGTATTTTTTTTAAATTTGGCCAATTTTTAAATTAGAATTGGGTCTTCAGTTTGATTAGGTCAGCCTTGTTTCAAACCATAATCATCTTTGATAATTTGATTCTATAACTTTATTATTCACTTTATCTCTCTCAATCTTCTCCATCATCTTCCATTAAAACTTTCATTTAACACTTATGAATACTAGCTAGTTGGGAGAGCATGTTGGTAATGACACTTTTTGCTGTTGTTTGTTGTTATACAACCACACTTATGAGACAATGCTTAAACAATTATGAAAAATAAGTACACTCATAAATGTATATACACCTATGACAACAATATGGGAGAGATGAAATGTTTGATCAAGTTGATTTAAGAAGGGTTGAAGCTTGATGATGTCATTATCATTATCATGCTCTTGTTTCATGAATAAGTATTGAACATCAATTGGTGTAAACAATGACTGCAAGTATAAAAATTGAACATCAATTCTCATATATTACAATTTAAGTGCAAAAATTAAACAAAGAAAGTTCATGGCCGAGTAGCAAAGATATTTTAACTCAAGATTGTGGGTTTGAATCCCACAAATTACAAAAATTTATTTTCTCAAATTTATCATTGACACTGACACATGAGCCAATAAAAAATAATCGTATAAGCACACCATAAATAAATAAAAAAGCCAACATAAAATCAACATGTAAGGACTTAAAAAAAATTAAAAACTAAAATCAAAAGACTCTCGAACTTATAAAAGAGAAAAATATATATTATTACAAAATCAACGTTAAAAGAAAAATAAAATAAGAAGACTCTATATCACACTTAAAAAACACGATCAAAATCATATCCTTGAAGAACACAATAAACTTTCAAAGATTTCAATTTTATCAAAATTTGGACACTCTTTTCTTCCATTTTCCTCCAAAAATTTCTCAGAGCACTAGATAGGTCGAGTTAACCTAATTAGAATCTAATCAAACAAACCATAAAGCTTCCATTAAATTACATGTCATTCCATTGCTTTTAAATATCACTTGATTTGTATTTAATAAAATATTTACAAGTGCATCTTATCATAATGTAATTATTTATGTAGATCTTTAAAATATCTATAGTATTTTATTTTATATTGTAATTTAATGATCAAAATTTCACATTTTAAATATGAATAAATGTCATATTGAGTTCAATCTAGCTTCAATGCAATTGGATATCTTTAGAACTATCAATCTAACTAAATTATCAGAATAAATACATTATCAATGTGATGTGATATTATTATATGTATATCTAAAATGTATTGTCCACTAATAATACATGTCAATTAAGCTCTACATAATTGGACATACAGCTTCCAGTTTTTTTAACCAAAAAGAACTACAATATAGATTATGCTTCTAGAGATACAACAAAGAAAAGGTTGAATGAACACAAAACAGCCAAATCATGTTAAATATTTAGGTGAAGTCATTCAAATTGGGATTACAATCATTGTTTTAAAAACCGGACCGGTCATTGAACCGGTGAAGATACTGGGTCACTGGTTTATCGGTTGAATCACTGGGTCACTGGTCGAACCGCATGACTAAATCGGATTAAACCGGATAACTCGGTTGAATAGACCTGTCATTATATAGATATAAAACCGGTCGAACCGGATGATTCAGTTTCTAAAAAAATATAACTAGTACTTAAATTTTTTAAAAATATCATATCATAAATTCACAAGTTCATAATTTAAATTTAAATTTTAAACAAATGTATTACACATAACAAAATAATACAAAATTACAAAATAATTGCAGTATAATCTAATTTTAAACTTTTTTTTTAATTTTTATAACTTTTGTATTTAAATTTTAATTAAAAAATAAAAAATGCATTAGAACCGGTCCAACCCTAAACTCGGTTTTTTCCGGTCCAACCCGGTTTTTTCCGATTTTTACCGATTTAATGACACAGACGATCGAACTAGTAAACCAGACCGGTTACTAGGCCGGTTCCCGGTCTAACCGGTCCGACCGGCCGGTCCGGTTTTTAAAACACTGATTACAATCATAGTCTTTTCTTTACTAAAAATAATGTTAAAATTGTTTTTATAACACTTGTTTCAATACATTTTTCTATCACTTAAAAGTCATAAGAATTTACTAAAGTATGTGTATCTTATATAAATTTTAATAAGAAAGTGTATATCAAAAACATTACTTCTAAAAAATGAGTAAATGATTTTGCCGGTTAGAAATGTTGTATGCAATTTTTTAATAAAATCAAAATTGTTGATTTATAAATATCAACAATTTATTTAAATTAATAAATTACTTGATACTTTCAAAATATAGTTAAATATATATTAAGATCATTTTTCTTGAGAATTCAAAGATTAAGACTTAATGTTATCAAAATCATTTTTCTTGAGAATTCAAAGATTAAGACAAATTAAAAACTACAAGATTTTCCTCAAAAACACAAAACAAGCTTCCTATCAATTTTCTTTGAGAACACAAAAATTAAGAAAGAAAATAACACTAGAATTATTTTTTCTTCCTTCATATCAATCCATTTTTTGAGTGAGTCATTCTTTAAACATTTGAATTAAAAATCAATGAGTTAACTCACTTTTACCACATCCATCCAAACAAACAAAGATTTTGTCAACCAAACTTTTAAAAACCAAAAAGACAAAAGTGTATTTTGTTTGGCAGATACAAATATGGACTTTTTAATAGGTCATTCTATATAACATTAAGTTGAATGTAAAATGGATTTCTGGTATTTTTAATACATTCATATAAACGTGAGTTCATTGATAAATCAAAAGTAAAAATCAAATATTTGTTTTGAATTGAAATCAATGGATCTAAAAGTCAAAATCAATTCTTCTCAAAAACATTTAAATGTTTTAAAATCAATTATACACAATATAAAATCAATTTTATCTCTTCCAAAAATTAAATCAAACATGGGCAAAATAAATAAAGTACTAATAAGCTAAGCATTCCTCATCTTGTTCCTAAACAAGCTTATAAGAAACACAAATGCATCTTTGAGAAAGAAACTAACTTTCATTAAAACCAAAACTGCATAACAAAAAACTGTAGCTGAAAATTTAACCTTTGCATTGAAAGAAACTTAATGTATGTATCTGAAATCCAGATCCAAGATCTGAATGCATTATTCTATGGTAGTCCCATGGACATTATTCAAAAACACTCACTTCACTCATAAAAGTAAACTATTATTATGTACGCATATAACGCACAGAAATCCGCTCCTGAATGGGGCTCCTACATGAAGGACAATCTTGCATACCTTGTTTTTCATGGAGCTCATTGCATTTTGTGCAAACAACCTGATGAGCACATGGAAGGAATACGACAGACATCTCCTCCGAAAGGCACATCACGCACTCTCTTTCCCGTTTCACACCTCCTCCTATCATAGAGAAGCTATTTAACTTTTGGACCAGCTCTGAAATAGATGCATTCTGGGGTTCATCAAGAGTTGAACCCTTTTTCATGTCCTTCCAGCTACCTGCATAGCTTCCATCGATTCCTCTTTTTAGAGCAGCAATTTTTGAAGAGTCAGATTTCTGTCGTATTTGTGCTACTTCTTTTTCAAGTTTCTGGATGTCATCTTTGTATCTTTGCAGTTCTGCCTCCGCTTCTAATTTGATCATCTCCTCCTTGGCTCTGCCTGACTCCTCAATTTGTTCTCGCTCTTTTTTTAGAGAACTGGCCAGCGAGAGAAGTTCTTCAGTTTTCTTTGCTGCCTGCCGCCGTTTAGCCTGTGATATTTTTCCTTTACAATGAGAACAGACCCAGTAACAAAAACTCATTAAGCACTCACAGACTTAACGTGTTTGCATCTGTGGAATTTCACAAATGATTCATTTAACATAATGATATTTATTACCCACTCATTCAACATGGAAATGATATTAACTATTAAGCCATGCATTTGAATCACTTATACATGTCAGTGCGTATCTATCGATCCAAATTTATTTTATTTAATTAAGAGCTCAAAATGTGAGGGTGAATGTTTTGAAATCTTCAGATAATTATTAACTACTCCCTTTCTATAACTTATTTCTGAGTATAAGACGGGTACACTGAAGCTACCATGAGAACAAACACAACTTGATGGGAAAAAAATGAATGGCAAAGCAGTCGGAATAAAACAGGATATAGTATATTGAAGCATAAAAAAAAATAATAATAAAAAAGAGAGAACAAATAACGGGATCAGGGAATAAATATTGGCATAAATATCTGATGAAGATGAAACGTGTGGCAATACAGTTGGAATAAACATGATATAATATACCTCAAATTGCTCCGCTTGTGCTTCGACTTGCTTTGATTCCGCCAATATCTGTGCCAATTTGTTTTTTTCAGTCATTAGCTCTTCCTGTATCAACGATTTCTGATTCTCCCATGATTGAAACTTCATTTGGGTCTTCTTTTCCCTCTTAGAGACATCTTGAAAGTTTGTAGCTGATTCTGCCGCACGTAACTTAGCAAGCTCCATCTCTTTCCTCAATGCAGCATTCTCCATCTCGAGCTTCCGAACTGCAGTATTAGCTCGGTCCACTTGTCCACCTGCTTTACCCAAGGCATTTTCCATCTCAAAAAGCTTTTTCATGGTGTTTTCTTCAAGACACTGTTTCTCCTTTTTAAGTCGTTCAACTTCTTCTTTCTCTTGCCTAAGTGCCTTAAGCTCAGCCTTCTCCTTACTCAACCGACGAGCAGCCTGCATCACCTTTTGATTTGCCCATTCTGTCCATTCTTGAAGCTCGTTTTGTAGCTCCCGAACCCTCGGAACCATCTTCAAAATCAGCTCATCCTTTCTATCTTGGGGCAACCATTGTCCCACAGACTTGTCATATGGTATCCCAACACAACTACCCTTGTGACTGCAGCAGATAGGTGTCTTAGAAGAACTGCTTTTTGAAGACAGTGAAAGAGAAAGGTCAGTATCTGTAGCCGATAATGCATCTGGAGGGCCACTGACTGCAGGCTTAGCATTTGCTTCATGTTCTGAAGATGAAGGATCGGCTGCACGAGAAATACCATCACTAGGATCCAGACTAAATGAAGTATGGGTAGATTGTCCATCATTAGATGAGCGAGAAGTGTTAAGATTGTCTTGAGTGACATCAACTCCCACTGCCTTGCTTATGTTTATGGATGCACTCTTTAAGTTTATGGTAGTAGATTCTGATACAGATTTAAGTTTTTTATCCAAGATTAAACCACTCAAGCCACTCAGCTTTCCTCCTCTTGAAGACCCTTTAGACCCATATGTCCGATAACCTTTTTCCACATGGATGGACTTCTGACGAAATATGTAGTCCCTCTTGGTGCTACTGGAGTGGACCTTTCTAACAATCCCACCCTTATCTTGTAGCAGGGGAAATTGAGAGGTTGCAAAAGCACTAGATGACTTGTCAACAGGATGAAATCCAGAATTAGCAACCTGTTTCTCCAAGAGTCCACCGGGAACTTGAGAATTTTCTGCCACAAAAGATTTCTCAGTTTGAGAACCCAGGGGAATTGTATTACAAGGACTTGGAAGACTCAATCCAGGACCTTTGGTTTCTACTTTCGATTGAGATTCAGTCTGGACAGAAGAACAGCCATCACCAACGCCGTCACTGTATAAACTACTTAGAGGGTCGCCATCCATTGCACAAGCATAGGACACGTTCATGTCACAAATTAACAAACACCACATTGCATCACCAACACTGAAAAATGGCCTAACCTCTCGAAGAACACAAACCAATTCAGCCAAGATGTACTTCTGAAGCTGCATTAAATCTTCAAAATAATGCTCTCGTGAAGGATCAAACTCTTGGCCATTTCTTAGAAAATTCAATGTGTTATCAACTATATTAGATACAGTATCTTTGCATCCATAACAGATGCCAGGCCTTAACATAGCCTTTGTAGCAACATCTTCAGTGTAGCCACAAGCAACAATTTTTTTTATTGCACTCTTGAAAATGGTTTGCAAATTGCTCAGGAGAAGTTCTTCCAACTGAGCTTCTGTGTGATCACTCCAATCAACCCCATGGGATTCAACCGCCTCTAGTTCATCCTTATGTTGGCTATGCCTAACCTCGGATGAAATTGCAGGGCTAGATAATCCGAGGTCAAGCTTCAAGCCATCAGAAGAATCGTGGCTACCACTGCACAAGTCAGAAGCTGTGACTTGCCCAAAACATGGGGTCATTTCAACTTTTTCAGCAGAGAACTCATAACTGAGACCATCATGCTGAAGTGAAGGTATAACCTTATTTGGATCTCCTAAAGGTGGATCAGCCCTGAATTTTCTCTTATTCCTACTTCCTTTTTCTTGGACAGAAACTGAAGAAGACATTTGACTGCTCCCACTGGCAACCAGTGATGCCATTTGCTGCAAATCAAAAGAAGTTAATAGCTGCTATAGTATTTCTCATTTAGATTACAAAAACAAGTTGAATAGTCTCAGGCCTTATTGACATAGCGTGAAAAAAGTCAACATCTTTGCTAGCTGTTTATAATGTAGTTTTAATCCTTACAATTTCTGCTTTCTAAAACTCGCTGTATATAGTTGTCTAATAATGATGAAATAATATTTGCAGAGATAAAACTTAGCCAATAACATAAGGAAGTACCAAATAATCATCATGTGAGAAGACATAAGAAGAAAGTGCAAAGATTCATATTCATATTAGAAAATTACATGTAGTAGGTCAGCAATACAAGTTAGGATTCATATCTCAAGTAATTGATCTGTGCACCACACACACTAGTAAATAAGAAAAGTAATAACTAATGAACATATTACTTTACTTATTTACTAGTGTGTGCAATGCACGGATCAATTACACGGGATATAAATCCAAACTTGTATTGCTAATGAACAACTCATCAAGATTCATGACTTTAACAACCAGCATCCTTTCACAAGCAATACAAGTTAAGATTCATATCTCTCATATAATTGATCCGTGCATCACACGGTATACACACTAGTAAATAAGAAAAGTAACAACTTACGAATAACTCATCAAGATTCATAACATTAACCAGCATCAATTCACAAGCATACAAAATTCACCAATTCCAAAACCAAGGACTATCAAAACACAATGATAAAATCAAAATCAGTGACCTAAATTCACAACAAATTTCATAGCATTATCAATCAACAAAAAAGGAGAAAAAAAAATGAAGTATGAACAACAACTAACACTTGATTATAACACAATGCATTGTATATGAATTAAAGTAGTAAAACTTTCTTACCTCTAAATCTCAGTATTACAATCAACAACGAACAACTTCCTGAAACAGACAAAAAAAAAATCAACAACACTGCCCAAAAACATGCACCAGTAATCTCAATATAAATATCAAGCCCAAACAGAGTTGAAAAAAAATTGAAAAATTGAAACCACTCAAACGAATTCAACAGCATAACAAAACTCCAAACTCAATCCAGATCAGAAAATCGATCTAAACAATTTACATCAACACAATTTCAATCCGCAGAAGATCCCCAATACAAGTGAATGAAAAATTCGGAACTATAATCAGTATCAGAATTGATCGATACATACCCGATTGAGGAAAATTAAGCAAAAATCAAAGATAAGATCGATCTTTGAACAACGGAGAATTCATAAAGAAAATGAATAGTTTTTTAGGTTTTTTTGTTCTTGATTTTTGTTTCTACCCTTTTTATTTTTTGGTGTATGTGTTGAGCTTGGGGAGGCTTTAATAGCCTTAGCAAAATACATGTCCTTTACCCACTATAGTAAACTAGGTTGCGTAATATTATTATAAAAGTCATTTTTTAGTCAAAAAAAAAAGTTTTTTTAGAATATATAAATAATATTTGGTCAAAATAATGTTTTTTTTAAGAATATATAATAATATTTGGTCAAAAAATGTATTAATAATAATAACTTTATCTTATAAAATAATTAAATTTAAAAAGATACTATATTAGTTGTTATTCTATTATATTATTCCATCAATTTTAAAATGAATATCATTTTATTATTTTAAAATAAATATCATTTTAGAAAATAAAATTTATTTCAAAATAAATGTCACTATTATTTTTTAAGGTATAAATAATTGTTATTTTTTAATTATATCTTTTAATTATACTTTTCAATACATTTATAAGATTAATTTAATAAAAATATAATATTGTATGATACTCTTATTATGTTTTTTAATTTGTGCGTAAAAATTTTAAATGATAATTATTTTAAAATGGGGTGAGTATTTGTTATTTTGATCATTTTTTTTTAAGATAATAACTCAAGTGAGGGGAATTTTAAAATGAGAGATGAGAGAATCAAACAACAATCATTAGATCATAATTAAACTTATTTATTAATGTGACTATTAATTTCTCTCTCTTATTAACTTAAATTTTATCTCTCTTATTAATTTGATCTAATGATCGTTGTTTGTTACTCTCATCTCTCATTTAAAATCACTTTCATTTGAAATGTTTCCTACGATAAGATATTAACAACAAACACTTATTTTAATAGTATTGTTCGTTTTAATCGTGTTTAAATACGTTATAAATTTATTTTAATCATGCTTACATACTTTATAGAGATTAGTTAATTTTTGTAAATTAATTTTGGTGGGTAAAAATATTATGATGTGTCGCGGGATTATTATCTTTTTATGAAAAATGATTATTTTTTACAAGTTCTAGAAATTTCATAAATATTTTTTTAAAAAAATTACTTGTTATCTATATAAATTTATCAGCGTTCAGGTGTTTGTCTGTCTGTTTTTTTTAATATGCATGTATGAAAATATAAATAATATTTTTTTTTGTTTAAATAAGAATTTTAAAAAATATAATATGTAGAAGATAATATTAAGAAGTTACGTGAAAGTTAATAATAAGAAGTTATTAAGTAAATTATATAATAAAGTAAGGGTAAAAATGGTAGAAAAATAAATCACAACAAAACAAAGTATTCCCTTTATATATTGTATAGATATAAAATAATAGCATGTTTAGTATCGCTTTTATTTTTTTTATTTTGTTTTTTTATTTAAATTATTATTATTATAATATTATCTTTTTAATAATATTATTATAAAAGAAATTTGTACTTTTTATTTTAGTCATAACAAATAATTTTTTTCATTTTTTAATACTTTTTGCTTAAAAATTATTATAATTAAAATTTTAGTCAACACAAATAATTATTAATAGTCATTACAAAAGTTTTTAATTTATTATTTTAATTAAATTGAATAACTTCTACACACAGTTACAAGATTTTAATCTCTAAATTAGAAGGATTACAATGGGTGTGGAAAAAAAAATTTTTAAAGAGAATTTAATTGATCCTTGTGGTTTAAATTCGAATTTAATTGTATTTTACACGGTCAATCAATTATCTTTAGGTATCTCGCTACATCAAATTGTAAATTTTTAATTAACGGTATATCATGTTAAATTAATATATTTTTATTAAATGACCGTCTAAAATTACTTTAGAGTGTCGATGCATACCAATTGAAAAATAAATTTAAAAAAAAAACAATTTACTTTGCTTTAAAAATTTATCTCCTTTTTTAAAGGAAAAGTTATCTCATTTTAATTTACATTTCTAAAATAAATTATCGAATCCAGTCAAATATATATTAATTTGAATTTATCTTTGAAAAATATATTATCATTTTAAAAATGTAGTAATAAGTCTCGTTAATCTAATTTATGGCCGGTTCTGTTTAGAGTTTTTTTTTAAATGATTTTTATAATATTAAATATTTCTGTTAAATTAAAATGAAAAAGAATTTTTTAATAACATATTTAAATAAAAATTTGATTTGAAAAGTTGTTTTTAAAATATTTCATCGTCTTATTCAAACTTTTTTTGGATATCAAAATTTTAAAAAATAATTTAATTTTAAAACTATTTTAAATAGTTTTTTTATAAAAATCATTTTTGAACAATTTTTTAAAAAATTATAATTTTGACTATATTTTAAACTTTGTTTATGTTACAAAATATTAAAATTAATCTTTCAATTTATAAAAAATAAATTTGAATTTTTTTTAATATTTTAAAAATACAAAGAGAAATATCATTTTTAAAGCTAAAACAAATCTGCCTTTTAGTTGATAGTTGTAAAGACATTTGATAGAAGATGTCCATGTATGACTAAGAAAATAGTAATAGTTTTTAAAGAGATTCTTTAAAATCTTGTTTATTTTAAGAGATATTTTTTACTTTTATTTTAAACATTTCTTTACAATGGTGTATTTTTATAAACTTTAAGCTTATTGAGAAAAGAAGTTTTTGAAAATTCTTTTTTTAATTGAATTTTGTTTTTAGTATTTATTATTTTCTAGAAAATTTAACTTTTAGAAACTATTTTTTTTATTTACATACTTTTTAAAATAATATATCTTTTAGAAAACAAAATATTCGTTTAAACTTACATTTACATTTATGAGGCTTTTAAAAAGGTGGTCATTCTTCAAAGAAAAGTTTTGAAAAAACTTATTTTAAGTGATTTTATTTATTTGAGTTATTGACTTTGAAAAAGATGTATATCTACATATAAAATAATATCATAATTTATTTTAAGTTTTTTATTTAATTTGACAATTTTTTAAACTTTTTATCTAAAGTTTCATTTGTTTTAATAAAATTTACTTTGACTATTAAATAAGTGATTTAGAAGATTTTTATTTTTTTTATTGATAATTTATAAATATCAATGATTTGCTTATATTAATACATAAATATAAATAAGAATTATCATTAAATATTAAATCTTAGATTAACAATATAAGTTGAGTTAACTTATTTATTCTTTTTGTTCCTTTTTTATTATTATTTTAATTAATAAATATAAATTTCTATTAAAAATGGTTAGAAAAAAATACTTGTAAAATAAAAGAATATAGTAATAGGAAAACCATATAAAGCAATGATGTATAAAAGTGAGCTACCTTAAAGAGTCTCAAACTTATCAATATTTAATTATAGCAACAAAAAAAAATTATAAAATATTTACAAAGTTAAATTGTAATTAAATAAAATTATTATTTATTTTATCATAATTAAATTGTGATAATCTACACATAATCTCTAAAAAAAAGTTGAAACACCACAAAGAAATATAATAAATTAAAATAGAAAATAGATGAATATTTTTATTTGTGCATAACCTTGTTGGGGTATGTGGCTTGGAGGGATTTATATAGATTAAGTGATCGGATATAGATCATAAGAGTAATTTTTTATTTTGTCCAATAGAAATAAACTTTGCAACTTTTTTACACCATTTAAGAATTGAATTTAAATTTGTTACATATAAGATTGTATAATTTTGCAACTACATCTCAAGGATATTTGTTTCTCACATAAA